TGCCCCCCACTTCAGAAGCAGCCCCGGAAAGCCTTAGGCATAGCTTCGAAGTACTGTCAAATATTGTACAGTGAGATATGCCAAAGGATGGAAGCTTAAAGATTCCATGAGGTGGGAAACGTGCTGCCAGTTTATGATAGGAACATTTCCGATCTTTCTTTTTTCCTCTGGAATGTGTGTGCCTGATCTACATTGGTCTGATTGGTATGGCTCTAAAGTGAGTTTATCACAGGAATGAGAAACCAAAACGTGAGATAAACCCAAAGGAATCGCCCTATTAAGTAAGGGATACAAAGTCGATTTCCATCGAAATTGGCCAGGCTGAGACCATGCCCGAACTAGCACAGAGACAGACAGCTTTGCAACCCCTTTATTTCTCTTCCACCACTCTCTAGCAACTACCTGTTTCTTGATTGAATCGGGCGTTTGACAAATACTTCTGGTCACCTACTTCCTCTGTGACATGTCCTCTTTTTTATTTTTTCAAACTTTTTGGGGTCCGAGTTGGTTTTACTCCTTAATTCTGGCTCTATTAAAAAGACCACCTTTGACTCCAGCCCTGTGTGTTCATGATAGACCCTAGGGCTTTCATAGGGCATCCCGTGGTACAATCTTTGGAAGTGGAGCCCAAACCCACAGACAACTGTTTCCATCAAGTTGCTCCTGATTCATACGAGTCCTTCCTTTTTAAGGGCTTCTGAAGGTCAAAATCTTTAAGGAAGCAGACAGCCAACGGCCTCATCTTTCTCTCACGGAGCGGCCAGTGGGTTTGAACTGCCCACCGTACAGTTAGCAGTCCTTCTTGTAGATACTCTTAATGTTAAATACAACTGTCTCATGTATTAGAATGGGCTCTCCTTACCTAAAGCAAGATCTTGTTTAGCTCACTAGATTGTGATTGTGTGTGCACGTGTACCATTTTTGTAATTAAACTTACAATTACTTTTTAAAGGTGGGCGAGCTGGTCTATTTTCATTCACCATTTCCCATTTCGCACTGTTAGTGCGAGTCCCGTCTTTTCCAGGGGTGGGAGAGAAGCAGTCA